CTCAGGTAATCCACCTGCCTTTGCCTCCCAAAGTGCTGGGATTACAGGTGTTAGCCTGTGAGCTACCTCACCCAGCCTTTTTTTTTTTTTTTTTTTTTTTTTTGAGACGGAGTTTCGCTCTTGTTACCCAGGCTGGAGTGCAATGGCGCGATCTCGGCTCACCGCAACCTCCGCCTCCTGGGTTCAGGCAATTCTCCTGCCTCAGCCTCCCGAGTAGCTGGGATTACAGGCACGCGCCACCATGCCCAGCTAGTTTTTTTGTGTGTGTGTTTTTAGTAGAGACGGGGTTTCACCGTGTTGACCAGGATGGTCTCGATCTCTTGACCTCGTGATCCACCCACCTTGGCCTCCCAAAGTGCTGGGATTACAGGCTTGAGCCACCGCGCCCAGCCTTTTTTTTTTTTTAAAGACACTGTGCCAGGCTATTTTTTATTTTTTGTACAGACAGCATCTTACTATGTTGCCCAGACTGGTTTCAAACTTCAATGATCCTCCTGCCTTAGCCTCCCAAAGCACTTGGATTACAGGTGTGGGCCACCATGCGCAGCTCTGCTGGGTTTCATTGGTGAGTTTGTTTTCCTGGCAAGAGATATACTAGATACCCTTGCACACCATCCACAACAATTGAAATACAATATTGTGATTGTTAATTTTATGTGTTAACTTGACTGGGCCATAGTGTGCCCGGATATTTGGTCCAACATTATCCCAGATGTTTCTGTGAGGGTGTTTTTGGAAAAGACTCTTTTTTTTTTGAGACTGAGTTTCACTCTTGTCACCCAGGTTGGAGTGAGTGCAATGATACAATCTTGGCTCACTGCAACCTCCACCTCCTGCGTTCAAGTGAGTCTCCTACCTCAGCCTCCCAAGTAGCTGGGATTATAGGCATGTGCCACTATGTCTGGGTAATATTTGTCTTTTTAGTAGAGATTGGGTCTCACCATATTGGCCAGGCTGGTCTCGAACTCCTGACCTTGGGTGATCTACCCACCTCCACCTCCCAAAGTGCTGGGATTACAGGCCTAAGCCATCATGCCCAGCCTGGATAAGACTAACATCTAATTTGGTATAGGAGTAAAGCAGATTACCTTCCCTAATGTGGGTGGGCCTCATCCAATCAGTTGAAGGTGTGAATAGAACAAAAGGCCAACTCTTCCCCAAGAAAGAGAGAATTCTCTTTCCTGCCCACCTTTGAACTGGGAAATTGTCTTTTTTCCTGCCTTTGGACTCGTAACTGAAACACTGGTTCTTCCTGGATCTTGAGCTTGCTGGCTTTTGGACAAGAACAACAACATTGGCTCTTCTGAATTTCAGAGCTTCAGACTTGGACTGGAACTAAGCCACTGGCTCTCCTGGGTCTCCAGCTAGCCAATTCACCCTGCATATCTTGGGACTTGCCCACCTCCATAACTGTGTCAGCCAATTCCATATAATAAATCTTTAGGCTGGGCACAGTGGCTCACACCTGTAATCTCAGCACTTTGGAAAGCTGAGGCAGGAGGACTGCTTGAGCCCAGGAATTCAAAACCAGCCTGGACAACATAGTGAGATCTGCCACTAAAAAAACAAGAACAAAAAAATTTTATTACACACACACATATACACACCCCCTACTGACTGCTTCTCTGGAGAACCTTGACTAGTACACATGTCCAGGGCTAATTTTCAAGGGCTCCCTAATTTTCCTGAGCTCATACCCCAATCCCAGATCTGCTAGAAGAGTGTATCTGCCAAACGAGTGCTATAATGACCTGGAGCCCTGAAACAAAAAGGCAAACATATAACACAAGACTGCACCAGAAAGTCAGACATGATTTGTCAGCCTTTATTAATCAAGAGTAAAGCCAAGCCCTAGAGTTTCCTTAACAAAAACAAAAAGAACATCAACCTTATTTATGGCAAACAGACTTAATTCTTAATGACTGTTCATTATATTTTTAACACTACAGAGCAAGAATTGATCTCTTTTCAATCACTTATTATTCTGAGATTAAAATACAAGTTTAAAAGAGGTTAAAATAAAATTCACCCCAATGATTTAAAAAAAAATAATTCCAATTGAAAGACATTTCAAACACTATATGTAGAACTCAGGACCAAAAGAAGACCTTAAAACATTTTTTACCGTTGAGGTAGCACAATAATGCTGAATCAGATTTCTTTTATTACAGTGAGCTTAAAAAAAAAAAAAAAACATGGAATCTACCCTTTGCTCAAGGTGGGCTAAATAGTTTTATGAAAGCCCCCATGAGGTTAGTGACTGTTCTTGTCCTTTTTTTAAGTATAAAGATAGCCCTGCAGGTATGTAAAAGGAAACCTATGGGAAGGCTGCTTCCCATAAAATAGACAATAGAATAACTGAGGAACGTCAGCAGTCAAGACAGGAGGAACAAGAGGTAATCATAGTGAAAAACCAAGCAACTCAGATCTTGGCAAGATTGGTTTACAAGTGCATGACAAGAACAAAAATTCCAATATCAGTCAACTGAAAATAAAAGAGAGAAGATGACATTCATGAGTCTTCTTACTTTTTCTCTGTGTAAAATGCTCTTTTTTCTAAATGAGAGAATCTTGCACACTGTGACATAGGTGCTAACAGCACCTCTCACTGAATACAATATCACAGTGCACAGAGAAAATGGGCAATTAGAGGATAAACATAACCTCTCCTAGCTGGATAACCATTTCTTGTCACTTTGCTGCTGAATTTACTCATTAAACTGTTCAAAGGGAAAGCTCTACCCTGATTTCTGAGTCTACAGCAAATAACATTATATATGAAGACTATTGACTAACAGGACAACAGCACATGTACCTTTTCTTCAGAGAATTCAACCAAGAGAAGAGAGTGGGTGGGATATGCTGGGGGCCAAAAGGAAGGGTCTCAGGCATATTCTCTACCATCCAAAATCAACAGCAAAGCCAGAAATGGGGTATCAGCACTAACTCATTGAAGAGAACAACATAAAATGGTTAACAAAGGGATCTCTTCCCAACACATGCTCCTCTCCATGAGGCTCAACCATCAGTGCAGGGCTTGCCTGATGTGGACAATGTGGATACCTCAGCCCTGAGTTGAACTTGGTCTGCCACCTTTGATTCCCCATGCTGCAAAAAGAATTGGAACGCTGTCAGGTCCTGGCACTGTGGTAATGGCTATATCCTACTTCACTCACAGAAGTCCTTTTAAAGTCTCCCTTCCTCAAGCTATTAAATAGAACCCGTCCTTTTAAAGTCTCCCTTCCTCAAGCTATTAAATAGAACCGCCTAGGAATCCTGTATGCAGTGAAAGTCTGAACTGATGATCCATATGTCAATCAGTAGTTAGAGGAGGATGACTTTTTTTTTTTTTAGACAGGGTCCCACTTTGTCCCCCAGGCTGGAGTGCAGTGGCACGATCATGGCTCACTACAGCTTCAATCTCCTGGGTTAAAGTAATCCTTCCACCTCAGCCTCCTGAGCATGCACTACCAGGTCCAGCTGATTTTTTTTTTTTTTGAAGAGACAGGGTCTCTCTCTATTGCCCAGGATGGTTTGAAACTTCTGGACTCGAGCAATCCTCCCACCTTGGCTTCCCAAAGTGCTGGGATTACAGGCATGAGCTACCATGTCCAACCTGAGCAGGACAACTTAAACCTGATCAATTCTACTCCAAAACCATCAAGTCAGGGATGTCAAGGAGGGGTCTGTGAAGAGAAAGACAGACTGGGATTGTGTGACAGTGGGATGAGAAGGTCCATCCCTAGCAGACTGCAGGAGTGACTCTGGCATAGAATTCACAGCCAGTCCTAACTAGTGTGATGGGTGGTAGGGAGGAGGCATCTGCTCAGTGTTCAAACAAAATCCTCACAAGTTCTAGGGCTGGACCTCTGCATCACTCCTGAAACCCAAGGTGCCTGTTACCTTTGCAAGAAACTGATATAGTTCTTGTTCAAGACTTGCTTTCTGAATTTTTTGATAATAAAGTAACACCATGGAGAAAAAGATCCTCAGAAAAATGTGGGATCACCACATGGTCTTTCTCAGTGCTAGCTGCCTGTTTGGGGGTATTAATTATAACCTTTCACTATTTTGAAAGCTTCAATGTAGGCTACAGAGGGCAGTCTGAAAAGAGTCCTTCTGCTTTTGCTTTGTAAAGCATAAGAAGAAAAGAGAAATTACCAAGGTTGTGGTGGGTTATTTACTTTGGAAATATCTTGGCCACACTGTCCGTGGCAAAAGCAGAAAGCCTAGCTTATGTGGACAGTGGAAGGTGACTGTGTGCGCCATCATTATCTACAACAGAAATGACTCAAGCCCTAGCATGTAATCTCTTAGGGACTTACTGAGTTATACAAGTTAAAAACAAAATGAAAAATCATATTGGAATGGGCCTCTTGATTTAATATAAACTTGGTTACAACATTCAAATTTATCTTTATGGAAATTTCACACTGCTCCTAGGAACCCTTAGAGCATCTGATTCTAAGTTATTCTGAAGGAAAAAAAATTATTCTGAAATATGCCTTGTTAGGATGATCACTGGAATTCTACCTGAGAGAATTAAAAGGCTAAATGGGTTTTAAATAAAAACAAGTGAAATTACCTTCTTCTGAGGTTAACAATTAGAATTCCAAATACCCCAACATCTTACCTAGAAAGGCCTTCACAGTAATTCTATGAAATTGTAAATGTTGTCAATTTTTGAAAACAGATTTGATCTTTAGGATAAATGCCTGCGTCAGCTGACAAACTCCATATATATGAATATGTCCAAGTTAAATTACCTAAAGAATAATTTTTTATTTTCCTTTTCTTGAGACAGAGTCTCACTGTGTCACCCAGACTGGAGTGCAGTGGCAGGATCACAGCTCACTGTAGCCTCGACCTCCTGGGCTCAAGTGATTCTCCCCACCTCAGCCTCCTAAGTAGCTGGGACTACGTGCAGGCACCACCACACTTGACAAATTTAAAAAAAATTTTTTTGTAGAGATAGGGTCTCACTCTGTTGCCCAGGCTGGTCTTAAGTGATCCTCCCACCTCAGCCTCCTAAAGCACTAGGATTATAGGCATGAGCCATTGAGCTTGGCCTGAGAAATAATTTGTTTTAATTTCAAAAAAATAGCTGCTGCTTCTTTAAGGAGTTTAAAAATTGGCGGGTTCAACGGCAAAGCTACACAAGAACTCTCTGGAGTAGAAGGAAAGAGCTCTCTTTATAGTACAACCTCCTGCCAGCCTACTGCCATTAGCCAGCAGGGGCAACTGCAAACAAATGGCAGGAGTTGCCCAGGAAGGTATTTGGGTCGGACAAAACGATAGCAACCCTCCAGATCCTGGCTCCTTAGAAATGGATAGGAATTCATTCATGCAAACTGCACAGAGGTTAAAGAAAACCTACTAAAAAAAATCCCCAACCCAGAAAACCTTTCCTGGCTCTCTACTAACAGTAAAATGTGCTGAGCCCAAATTTTCTGCTCTAACATGGGGCCCACTGACCTATCAGTCTGCTCTGGGGTGCTAATCTGCTGGGTCCTGAGCAGGGTCTTTCCCTAAGCATCACTGTGGGTTTGGAGACAGCGGTCAGCAGACAGTACAACGCCACTGGGCTACATATGCCCATGTCATCCGCCACCATTTCCCACTGTAAAACCAAAGGCTGCAACTGTGAACAAATGTGGACTTTCTCAAAGGACAAATGAGGAGACTGAAGGCTACATTTCCTCCTTTGAGAAAGATTAGAGAGTGTCTACACTTATACAACAGGATTCTGTAAAGTTACCTTGTGATAACTTCTAAAAGCAAGAGTAGCAGCAAGAGAGGAAAGGAGCATGTTTATACTTTGGACTTTGTATCAGGCACTTAAATTGTTGGAGAGACATGCCGTTCTGAACCAAAGATGTGAAAACTGGGTTGGAGTAATCTTTACAAGTGGTCTAATAATGGGCTTTCAGAAGCAAAGTGGAGGTGTGGGTTGAACCTCTGCCCATCCTTTAGTGCTGACTTTCAAGTTTTCTAAATGCCCATAACCACAGCAATGGCAGCAGTGGTGGCAATGGCAGGAACGGTTCTGTCATGTCTGTTTTCTGTATGTGTTCTGTGGCTGACCAGAAGGTTTTGGTGTCACACTGAGAAGGCTCTGGGGTGTGGCACACCTACTGCCCGAGGTTGCCCAAATCCATGCTGGAGCCAAACATCTTCACCAGCTGTTCCTCATAGTGTGAGATGTTCCTCTTCATGATGTCCATGCAGGGCCCCAGAAGCCTCTCAAATGCTTGTACATCCATAACTGCATTATTAAAAAGAGGTGAGGGAGAGAATGAATTCAAGCCATTTCTCTTATGCAAACCTTTTCCTAAACACTCCCATTCATGTTATAGGAGATTACACCTTGGGACAATGGCCACCTGCAAAAACAGATGTTTCTATATGAATGCAGAAAGACTATATCCTGTATCATCCATGTTAGAGACTTTACAGAGTCCAGCAGCACCTATTCTCCCATTCTCCCACAGCCCTGAACATCAGCTCTTTAAATATGGCTAAAGGGCCTGTATACCTATCTTGCTCACAGGCTGTCACCAGTGCTCAGAAATGTTTGCTGAATGTATCCATTCATCCATTTCTGGTTGATCACATAAACTACCTAGGCCTAGACAGCAGTAAACGCTGGCAGAATACAGTCAAGGCTTGTTGATAGGAAAATATATTACATGTTAGAAAAAGAGTAACAATGTCAGGCGCGGTGGCTCACGCTTGTAATCCCAGCACTTTGGGAGGCTGAGGCGGGCGGATCACCTGAGGTCAGAAGTTCGAGACCAGCCTGACCAATATGGTGAAACCCTGTCTTTAAAAAATAAATTAAAAAATAAATAAATAAGCCGGGCGCGGTGGCTCAAGCCTGTAATCCCAGCACTTTGGGAGGCTGAGGCGGGTGGATCACGAGGTCGAGAGATCGAGACCATCCTGGTCAACATGGTGAAACCCCGTCTCTACTAAAGATACAAAAAATTGGCCGGGCGCGGTGGCTCAAGCCTGTAATCCCAGCACTTTGAGAGGCCGAGGCGGGTGGATCACGAGGTCAAGAGATCGAGACCATTCTGGTCAACATAGTGAAACCCCGTCTCTACTAAAAATACAAAAATTAGCTGGGCATGGTGGCATGTGCCTGTAATCCCAGCTACTCAGGAGGCTGAGGCAGGAGAACTTGCCTGAACCCAGGAGGCAGAGGTTGCGGTGAGCCGAGATCGCGCCATTGCACTCCAGCCTGGGTAACAAGAGCGAAACTCCGTCTCAAAAAAAAAAAAAAAAAGATACAAAAAATTAGCTGGGCATGGTGGCACGTGCCAGTAATCCCAGCTACTCAGGAGGCTGAGGCAGGAGAATTGCCTGAGCCCAGGAGGCGGAGGTTGCGGTGAGCCGAGATCGCGCCATTGCACTCCAGCCTGGGTAACAAGAGCGAAACTTCGTCTCAAAAATAAATAAATAAATAAATAAATAAATAAGAAAAAGAGTAACAATGCATAAAGAACTTTTCTTACCTAAGCATTTGACATCTCCAACTGCATAAGCTGAAGCAGCTCTGGGTTTGTTGGTGACCAGGGCAAGCTCTCCAAAATACTGCCCCTTATGGCAACGGGCAATCTCGACTTCCTGGTTTCCACCATCCTTGTTTGATTTAGTCTACAGCAGACACAGAACATTACCTGGGCTGATTCCAGGATCACAGCTGGGCAAGTCCAGTTGCACACATATGCATTTTTCTCAGCATACTCCACACAATTACTGAGGAATTCACTTTGCAGAAAATTCACTAACTGTACCATGTAAACTCCACAGACTAATCTCAGTGGTCTGGTTTGATCACAGGAGTTTGTTTTTACCTAGGGCCCCATCTGAGTCCTAACATTTTTAAGGTAATCTATAGCCATATCACCCTGAACATGCCCAATCTTGTCTAAATCAGAACAATGCTTCTCTTAGGTAATTAGCCACAAACTTGAGCTACTTCTCTGATTTGAGATTGTGCCTTAAACAACATTTTACAGTCACAAAATTCCCCATCGCCTCCCACTTTTTTTTTTTTTTTAAAGAGACAGGGTCTTACTCTGTCACCAAGGCTAGAGTTCAGAGGCATGATCACAGCTCATGCAGCCTTGAATTGCTGGCCTCAAGCAATCCTCCCGTCTTGGCCTCCCAAAGTGCTGGGATTACAGGACTGATTCACTGTTCCTGGCCAACAAATTTAAGTACTATCTGTACCTTAAATTAGTGGTCTCACCGGGCGCGGTGGCTCAAGCCTGTAATCCCAGCACTTTGGGAGGCCGAGGCGGGTGGATCACGAGGTCGAGAGATCGAGACCATCCTGGTCAACATGGTGAAACCCCGTCTCTACTAAAATACAAAAAAATTAGCTGGGCATGGTGGCACATGCCTGTAATCCCAGCTACTCAGGAGGCTGAGGCAGGAGAATTGCCTGAACCCGGGAGGCGGAGGTTGCGGTGAGCCGAGATCGCGCCATTGCACTCCAGCCTGGGTAACAAGAGCGAAACTCCGTCTCAATTAAAAAAAAAAAAAAAATTAGTGGTCTCTCCTCCCATTTTTTAGAATAAGAGTTAAGTAACTACTTTTAAGATAACATACTACATTGTATTAATATCTAGAGTTTCTTTTTTGAGACGGAGTTTCGCTCTTGTTACCCAGGCTGGAGCGCAATGGCATGATCTCGGCTCACCGCAACCTCCGCCTCCTGGGTTCAGGCAATTCTCCTGCCTCAGCCTCCTGAGTGGCTAGGATTACAGGCACATGCCACCATGCCCAGCTAATTTTTTCTATTTTTAGTGGAGACGGGGTTTCACCATGTTGACCAGGATGGTCTCGATCTCTTGACCTCGTGATCCACCCGCCTTGGCCTCCCAAAGTGCTGGGATTACAGGCTTGAGCCACCGCGCCCAGCCCTTTTTTTTTTTTTTAAACAAATAAAACTGCTAAGCAAAGTGATAAGCAAAAAATTCTTTAGACTTTATTAGTAAGAATTAGTCTCAATCTCTAAGAACTACTTTATGTTCTAGGCAGAAAGATAATTTCCTTTTTGGTTAATTTTAAAAATAAAACTGCTACACTAGCTTACACAGTTTGACCCTTCTTCCTTCTGCATTTCTGCCCTGTTGCTCTGCAGTTGGTCTGCCCTGTTGTTCTGAAGTTGGTCTGTTCCATCTGAGCCAAGTTTCTCTTTCCAATCATTTCAGTAGCATTCTCTAGAGCTGCAGCGATATTCGTGCCCACTTAGTCCCTTCTCTAGAACAGAAGGGACTTATACACTGTCACATACACACCAGCTCCCATATTATGCAGGTTTTCTCACAATGCAGATTCTGATTCAGTAGGTACGGGGAAAACCCCAAAACTCTGCACTTCAGACAAGCCCCCCACTCTCCAATATTCCAGTGCCATGCTGCTGCTGATCCTATGCACCTAACACTATGCTGTGATCACATTAGGTGTCAATGAATATCTGAGAAATGTACAACCATCTATCACTAGCCCAAAAACTGTAAGTAAAATAATACAGGCACTTCAAACTAATGTTTTCATGTGAAACGACAGATCTACTTTTAATCAAGAATCAAGCTATCGGCCGGGTGTGGTGCTCGTGCCTGTTTTTCCAGTGCTTTGGGAGGCTGAGGCGGGTGGATCACCTGAGGTCAGGAGTTCGAGACCAGCTTGGCCAACATGGTGAAACCTCATCTCAAAGCACAAAAAATTAGCCAGGTGTGGTGGCAGGATCCTGTAATACCAGCTACTCGGGAGGCTGAGGCAGGAGAATCACTTGAACCTGAGTGAACCACTGCACTCCAGCCTGGGTGACAAGAGCGAGACTCCGGCTCAAAATAAAAAAAAAAGAAATCAAGCTATCTTCAGCTACTCAGTAAGCTTAGGCATGAGAATTGATTGAAACCAGGAGGCAGAGGTTGCAGTGAGTTGAGATTACAGCATTGCACTCCAGCCTGGGCAACAGAGCAAGATTAAGTCAAAAATAAAATAAAATAAATAAAGAGAAAACAAATCCAGCTATCTTACAGAGAGTAATATTCTTCTTTTTTTTTCCATACTTACTTTTACTCAATATATTTTGCAAAACTTTTTATACTAGCTCGACTTAGTATTATATATAACTGTTTCAACAAATTCTGTATTCTCAAAAAAGAAAAAAAAAAAGGAACCGGAAAATCTGATGATGATAGATTTACTGGTAAGAGTCATTCCTCCTACTTATAGCTCCAGTTTTCTATGTCACACCATCCATCAAATGACCATAATTTTCCTAGAGACCTCCTCTAGCAGTGCTCTAAAAAGGAAGCTTTCTTTATGTTCACCCCTTCCAATCTTTTTTTTATTATGTAATTTCCCTATTTTCTTTCCTTTTTTCTTGAGACAGGGTCTTGCTCTGACAACCAGGCTGGAGTGCAGTGGCACAATCACGGTTCACTGCAACCTCAATCTCTTAGGCTCAAGGGATCCTCTTGCCTAGGCCTCCAAAGTGCTAGGATTACAAGTTTGAGCCACTGCACCCAGCCACCATTTTCTATTAGGGTTTTAATCTTTTTCTCATTGATTTGTAGGCCAATATTCCCCAAATAATTAATTACATGGCAGAGCAAAAGGCAGTAAGAATGAGAAATATACTAAATCTTTATCAATGGATAAGCTTAAACATGGGTCTTTGCCAGTCACACACCTCATAAAACAATGACGTTTTGGTGCACACAACACATTTCACATTATTTAAACCAAACTGTTACTTTTTGTGTGTACACCATCACATATAAACTAATAAACTCACCTTGCTTCTAATCAAAATGCTCACTTCACCAGACTCTATGATGTAAAAGCTATCAGCCTTTTCACCCTGAAAGAAAAGAGGTCAGGTCAGAGCCATACATAGTATTGACAGGGAATAAAGAAATAGATTACTTTTTCACTGCTTAAGCTCTGATTTGTATTTATTTTCTAATTCTATAAATGAATCAAGAGTTAACAAATTCAGAAAAAAATGAGGATTCTGATCACTGGGGACATCAACCCAACTACAACTGATACATCTCCAAATTCTTTATTTTTTTTTCTTTTTCGTTTTCCTCACAGATAAGAAACATCTCTGAACTCTTAACACAAACTACTCACATTTATCTGCATGAATGTGCACAGGCTGCCAAGTGCACAAAACATCACTGCTCTGATTGCTCATGTTGGTCTGCTATTGAAACCTATGACAGAGACCGGTAGCCAAGGCTGCTACAGACAATGTCAAGGTGATTCCTGGCTACACCTGAAGTAGGGGGTCCAGGGATAATCTTGAATCATTAAATATAACTGTCAACAGTTGACAGCATGGATCTGGAAGGTTCTGTCTTGGTGAAAGAGGTGCTTTGATGTTACCCTTCTAAGCCTTAGGCCTTTCTTTTGCTTATTTTGATTTTATTTTATATTTTTAATTATTTATTTTTCTGGAGACAGGGCCTTGCTCTGTTGCCCAGGCTGGAGTGCAGTAGCATGATCATGGTTCACTGCAGTCTCAACCTCCCAGGCTCAAGTGATCCTCCTGCCTCAGTCTCCCAAGTAGCTGAGACTACAGGTACACACCACTATGCTCAGCTAATTTTTATATTTTTTGTAGAGACAGAGTTTTGCCATATTGCCCAGGCTGGCCTCAAACTCCTGGGCTCAAGTGATCCACCCATCTTGGCCTCCTAAAGTGCTGGGATTATAGGCATGAGTCTGCTTGTTTTGAATTTAAACCACATGGTTGAACCAGTCATTCAGGTAATTCAACAAGTAATTTATTTACCAAGTATTTTTTTTTTTTTTTTTTTTTGAGACGGAGTTTCGCTCTTGTTACCCAGGCTGGACTGCAATGGCGCGATCTCGGCTCACCGCAACCTCCGCCTCCTGGGTTCAGGCAATTCTCCTGCCTCAGCCTCCTGAGTAGCTGGGATTACAGGCACGTGCCACCATGCCCAGCTAATTTTTTGTATTTTTAGTAGAGACGGGGTTTCACCGTGTTGACCAGGATGGTCTTGATCTCTCGACCTCGTGATCCACCCGCCTCAGCCTCCCAAAGTGCTGGGATTATAGGCTTGAGCCACCGCGCCTGGCCCCCCAAGTATTTACTATGTGCAAGGCACTGTTGTTCTAGGCATGTGAAATACACCCAGTGGACAAAAGAAATACCCCTTGGCCTTGTAGAACTTACAGTCTGGTAGGGTAAATTTTCTTTTTTTTTTTTTTTTTTGAGACGGAGTTTCACCCTTGTTACCCAGGCTGGAGTGCAATGGCGCGATCTCAGCTCACCGCAACCTCCACCTCCTGGGCTCAGGCAATTCTCCTGCCTCAGCCTCCTGAGTAGCTGGGATTACAGGCACGCGCCACCACGCCCAGCTAGTTTTTTTGTATTTTTAGTAGAGACGGGGTTTCACCATGTTGACCAGGATGGTCTCGATCTCTCGACCTCGTGATCCACCCGCCTCGGCCTCCCAAAGTGCTGGGATTACAGGCTTGAGCCACCGCGCCCGGCCTACAAACTTTCAACAGTCAACATAACAAATCAGTAAATTATACTGTTCTGTTGCAAGGTGATAAGCACTACAGGAAAAGAGTAGAACAGGGAATAAGAAATCTGGAGTGCTGGTGAAGGAGGCCTTGGAACTATACTCATATATTACAAAAGACTATACTCATATATACAAGAGCACTTCACTGAGGCTGGGTGTGGTAGCTCATGCCTGTAATCCCAGCACTTAGGGAGACCAAGTCTGGGGGATTGCTTGAGGCCAGGAGTTCAATACTAACTTGTACAATACAGCAAGACTATGTCTCAACAAATAAAACATTAAAAAAATTAGCTGGGTATGATGGCATATGCCTGTAGCCCTAGTTATTAGGGAAGCTAAAGCGGGAGGATCATGTGACCCCAGGAGATGGAAGCTGCAGTGAGCCATGATCCTGCCACTGTGCTCCAGCCTGAGCAACAGTGAGACCCTGCCTCTTAGGAAAAGATAGAAAGAAAAAAAAAGGAGGTTCACTGAGAAGGTGAGATCTGAGCAAAGACTGGGAAGATGTCTGAGTTAGGCATGCAGATATACACGAAACATCTTTCAGGCACACTTCAGTTTCTTGACCCCTCACTATTAACTTCTGGAGCAATGACCATTTATACCACCAGATAATGCAATATTATTCATGCATTCTCACTCTATGTGGGTCTTATGTCTTCAGTGAGACTCTACTTCTGAGGCTTTCATAAACTTCATATCCTTTGACCATCACACAGAGCCCCAAGTGGGCACCATACACAGCTAGGCTGACATTACTGAGTTAATCTAGTCCCAGCACGTATTACCGCCCCATATGAGTATATGCCACAGCTTTACAAAGGGGTGCCTATGGGTTTCTGCACTGCTATATTGGTTAGGTACCCTACAGCCAGCAGAGCCAAATCACCATGAAGTTCTAGCATTACACAAACAGCTGCATGATAGGAGCTGATAAAGGATGAGGAGCCATGAAAGAAACTTAGTAGGAACCAGAGGCAGAGTCACAAACAGGGAGAGGTATTTCACCAAGAAGAGGGTGGCAAGTGGTAGGAAAGATCTGCAAGTGACAGGTGGTGAAGGATAGTGCTTGGGCCCTTTTTGTTTAGATAGGTGTGTAACATCCACCATTTAAAGTGCTCACATTTCAAGGCTATATAGCTTGATGACTTTTTACATATGTATAAAACCTATATAACCACCTCCTAGATCAAAATAGAAAACATATCCACTCTCCAAAAGACCCCTTCTAGAGTTCAGTCAAAACCACCACATTCCCACCCATGAGATAACTATAACTAATTTCTGTCCTTGTAGGTTTTGGCCATTCCTTAAGTTCATATAAATGGAATCATCTCTTTTGCATCTGGCTTCTTTCAGTCCATATTGTTAGATCACACTTTGAAAGTGTCTGGCTAGGCAAGGAATTAGCCTGGTAGCTAGAGTAGAAACAAAGTGAAGAAAGGAGTGTACGTGTGTTATGAAGACTGCAGAGGACGGGTGTAGTGGTTCACACCTGTAATCCCAGCACTGATGGGGGCGGACTGCTTGATGCCAGAAGTTTGACACCAGCCAGGGCAACATGGTGAAACTCCATCTCTACTAAACACAAAAAAGGACAGGTATGGTAGCTCACACCTGTAATCCCAGCGCTGTGGGAGGCCGAGGTGGGCAGATCACCTGAGGTCAGGATTTTGGGACCAGCCTGACCAACATGGTGAAACCCATCTCTACTAAAAGCAGAAAAATTAGCAGGATATGATGGCAGGTGCTTGTAATCCCAGCTACTTGGGAGGCTGAGGCAGAAGAATCGCTTGAACCCGGGAGGCAGAGGTAGCAGTGAGCCTAGATCATGCCATTGTCCTCCAGCCTGGGCGACAAGAATGAAACTCTGTCTCAAAAATAAATAAATATGTATATATGTGTATATACACATATATATGAATATGTGTATATATGTGTATATACATATATATACACACAAAAAAATTAGCCAGGGGTGATGGGTATACGCCTGTGATCCTAGCTACTTGGGAAGCTAAGGCACAAGAACTGCTTGAACCTGGGAGGTGGAGGTTGCAGTGATCCGAGATTGCCCACTGCACTCCAGCCTGGGCAAAACAGTGAGACTCTGTCTTTAAAAAAAAAAAGGCCAGGAACAGTGGCTCATGCCTATAATCCTAGCACTTTGGTAGGCCAAGGTAGGCAGATTGCCTGACCTCAGCTTGGGCAACATGGTGAAACCCCATCTCTACTAAAAATACAAAACATCAGCCAGGCGTGGTAGTGCACGCCTGTAATCCCGACTACTCAGGAGGCTGAGGCATGAGAATTGCTTGAACCTGGGAGGTGGAGGCTGCAGTGGGCCAAGATTGTGTCACTGCACTCCAGCCTGTATGACAAAGCAAGACTGTCTCAAAAAAAAAAAAAAAAAAGAGAGAGATAAAAAAAATGAAGACGGCAGAGACTAGGGTATACAGGATAAGAATGAGTTAGGGCATGAGAAGAACGAACAGGGGAGCTCATATAGAATAGAAATTGCTAATGTTGCTGTGTGCTCACTACCAGCAGGCACTGTAGTGAGCATTTTATGCGTAGCATTTCATTTTTTTAACCAAAGAAGTCTAAGAAAGTAGGTACTATTACTATCCAATTTTGTGGACTAGTTTCCTCAGAAGCCTGGAGGACAAATAACCTTTCCCTAGGAGGTAGGGTGAATAGCTGGTAGATTCAGGGTTGAGAGGAGATGGGAAAGATGTCATCTAGAATACAGGAGAAACAAAAAGCCTTGGTTCATCGCTTCCTCTGGACCAAAGGAAGGATAGTGAAAGGACCTTGGTCCAGTAAATTTTACTGATTTGCTAATACTTTACCAGAATGGATTATTTTAATGCAAAACAATGCAAGGTGATAAAATTTAAAATAGAACCATGTTCTGATTATCTTAACCATCAGTTGAAAACAGTTGATCTTTGTGGCATCTAAAGGATGAACTGTTTTACATTTCTGACCTCATGAAACAGCCTGGTTAGGCTGAAACAGGCTAAATGTGTGGGCCAAGACGCACATTTCCTGTTTCCACGCTGTCCGGTGGTGGCTACTCTGGGTACACTGGCTGTTCAGCCTTTGTAGGACTGCTTCCATTTTGCAGGGTAGAATGAGATGACTACCCAGTTGGAATAAAGAGCTCACTAGAAAAGCATCCTGTTTTTTTTTTTGAGACGGAGTTTTGCTCTTGTCGCCCAGGCTGGAATGCAATGGTGCAATCTCAGCTCACCGCAACCTCTGCCTCCTGGGTTCAAGCGATTTCCCTGCATCA